ACAATAGGTTGTTTTCCTGGCGGTACGCTCCTTCCGTTGCCCTTGTTGATGTGCATATCACGCACGTGCCTGATCAGCCTCTGAATGTTCGGGAAAGGCTGAACGTTTTTCTTGTTTCTGCCGCAATTGCGCCAGTAGCAGTTGAATTCCGAAATTTGATTTTCGGTATAAAAAGCCTGCACATGCCCTTGCGATTCTTTGTCCTTGATGCAGTGCTCAATCAGATCGACGACTTCTTCGAATTGGTAATCACAGTTGTCCCAAAGACATTCGTAAACCTTGGTACAAATCAAGTATTCAATGTTGGTACGGTTGGTCTTTATATAATTCAATTATCGTTATTCGCAAATAAAAATGTTTTCATTTAGAATTGCAGTTAGGGTTTTAGACTCACAAGACTTTTTTCATATTCCGTTCGCCAAATATAACATTGAAAAGAATTCTCCAAGTGTACTTGGTTTGATATAATGCAACAATCTACTTTAAATTTGGGGATCTGTTGAGACAAGACACAACATCCTTTGTCTTACTCCTATTCGTGTCAAAAATGTTAACTATATGCTTCAAGGTATTTTTATTCGGGTTTGGAAAAATATTTTCAATATATTGATTCAATAATTGATCCATTTCTATCTATCAAGTTCGGAAGACATTGAAAAATAAAGGACTCCATGTCTTCTTGCTGTCTCTCCCAGTATTTGTTTCTCTTCGAAAGAATACTAGATAAAGGATAAAGGAATGTAGTGATTACCATTTCTACAATGCGAATTATCTTGAGAGAATATATAATTTTTTATCGTCTCAAATACAAAATTTTCGAGTACACCATACATAAAAAAAGAGGGGATGTTCAGGGAGTGTATTTTTGATAATCTTTCCAATTTTATCCGAGATTTTTTCCATGCTCATCAATGGGGAATGTTCCTCCTGACGAAAATCAAGTAGTTTTCATAAAAGAGCTCTAAAACAACGCATTTTAAACTTATCATTTCAACCTTTTTCTTTAAAAAATTATTAAAATACTTAAAAAAAGATAAATGAAATAATGCATAAAGGGATTTCTATTTCACCATTTGGCAACATCGGTTATAGCTAATAAAGGACTATTATTATTGTGGAATTATAATTATGAAGCATTAATTGCTTAGTTTTTATAACCATACATCATATTCATAATACCAATGTAGTACAAATTATTAATCTAAACGTAAAAAAAGCAAAAACGAAAACGATTCAATCAGTGAGTCCGATCCTGAAGAACAGAATCCGATAATAATCTACAATTTAAAAAAGTAACTTACCACATCTACAGGTGGTGGAGGTGGAGCAGCTGGACTGGAACACTGTTCTTCGAGCAAAAGCATAGCCTTCGTCTCCTCGTTCAGTTTCGAAGCTTTCTCCTCCCATTGCTGCTTCTCGTGCTGTGGCAGGGACTTCCACTCGCTTCCGACTATGCGACTGATATCACCAAACGTCGATTCGGGATTGTTCTGGACGATTTGCTTCCGCACTTCGCGCGAATACAAAATGTAACCTGTCACCACTTTGTTCTTGTTGGATTTCTATCAAAATAAGGCAATGGTAATCGTAAGATGGCCAGGTGATAGGCGGTAGTTTCGAAAATGACATGGTTGTTTGAATGAATACACTTTATTTTTTACAAGAACTATTCTCAGTTTGGTAGAATAATATAACATTTTCAACAGGAAAATAAACGAAGCTGAATCAATAGAGAATCTGTTGAAGTGTAATAAAGGGCAAACTGAAAAGTTACTGCATAATATAAACCAAGTTTATTTTTCAGGTTGTGGAAGGTTAACATAAAAAAAAAGTGAGAAATATTGTGTCCTCAACAAAAAATTGTCTTTCAAAGAAAGTGATTAATTTTATCAAGAAATCACGTCTTATCCTGATTTTCATATCATTATTTTTCCAAAAGAAAATTCATTTTCCCTACACTACATAAACTTCACTGTCGAAACTACCACGTAAATACACCGTCACTAATTGTTACTTCCTAAAAAATTTCATGGCCGAAACCAAATTTTGACTACACTCATGGAATTTTTCAAAGCAGTGATGTTAACATCAAAACGGTAAGACATACATAATAAAAACATTCGCACAAGAATCGCACCATGCTTCGCTTCCAATACAGAATAGCCAAAAGCGATTTGGCAATCCTGCATACCACTCACGTACCTTCTTGGTAGGAGCAGGGGTAGAAATAACGGGGGTGGCGGTACCAGGAGTTGGGACAACGACGGGAATTTCGCCTGAACCGACCGATGGCGGGCCACCATCTAGGGAGTCTTCCATTAAAATGTCCATGTCGTTCATTTTTGTAAACTGAGGGGATGGTTCCTAAAAACGGTTTGGTTGTAGTATTACGCTAAAATTTTGAATCAATATCAAACAGAATCGCTGTTTTATCTTCACTGCTGAATCTAACGTTTGTGTAGGTAAGAAAAATCCTTTTCAGTACTGCATTTTCGATATAACAGAGAAAAGTTTACCAAAAGGGCAATGGGGTTATTGAACTCTGTTTCAAGTAGTAACGGTTCCTTTACTTGTTTACAGAAAGTACTGAATAACGTATTAAAAACAACAGCCCTACATAGCATGACAGAGGAAAAGAAACATTTCCACATAAACTCATTCAGAGAGTTGAGTTTCTTGAAATTATTACAAAATTGCTCGCATAGACTTTTCATGGCAATAACTTTAAATCAGATTCATTGTGTTAATACAATGAATGTACATTTTTACACATTTCATATATTTTTTTTAACTCTAAGTGAAATGTAATTCATTTTTTGAGTATTGTTTTGACCATTCTATAATAAAAGTCGTAGAAAATAATGTACTTCCTGAAGAAAATGACTCAATGTCACATTTCATTTTATATCAAAATTATTACAACTATTTTGATAATCGCCTAATATGAAAACTCAACTTATGATGCACTGTTTGGAACCTTTGGTGTAGTAATGAACATTACTGTAGTTTTTCCCAACACCAAATCGTTATTTTTAACACCTCAACACGTTTGATCTTCCTCTTTGAAGATGATCACTTGGTGATCGAAACACTTGTCAAGGTGTTAAAAATAACGATTTGGTGTTGGGAAAAAACTCCAGTAATATTCATGAAAACTCACACTTACAATGGCAATAGGGTTATTAAACAGCTCTGTTTTAATTATTTTCATCTTTACTGTTCATTGAGAATTCAAGAAGCATATTCATGAATTTGGCTGTACCTTCAAGATACTTGATATTCACCCATATCAAAACAGTTAAGGGAGTTTCAAGATAAAAGCTAACTCAAAAACAATAAAATCTGATAAGTGCTCAAATTGTGACTTTTTGGATATATTTCAGATTAGTTATCAGGCATTTACAGTATACCCAGAGTTCAATGAACCCCAAACCTTTTATCCTTCAGGTAATTTGTTAGGATTCAAAAACGCAAATACTGCACCGTTGACGAAATTTCAAGACAACGCCTTGCTGATATTTCTCTTTGAAATCAACAAAAACTCAATATTAGTTTAGATTCACGATATTAAAATTAAACATACTACTCATTACTATAACAAAAATAAGCACACCCTTGCACATCACAAAGAATTAGATTCAGAAATATTTAATAATAGAAAGTTATTTTTACAGTTTTACAATCACTAAGAAATCTTGCTTTCAGGTCATTATTAAAATAGACTCTAAATGAAATTTACATTTCCAGGAAACGGAGCACTATCCATCGTATTATCCATGGCTGCTACTTCGAATGTCGCTTCAGCACATGCACATCATAAGAAACAACTGATTTTTTTTTATGAAAGTTCCGGAAAATACTCTAGAAAACAACCGAAAACGCTTTTCAACACAATCTCACCGTCATCATCGCCTTGTATTTTTGACAATCTTTTTGACAGAAGTTGAGGTTATTCCGTAAACGCCAGCGGGAAATTTGAATTTAGGGCGGATGACACGTAGGCACGAATATAGGGTGATCTAAGGAACTACAGTTGACAATTTTTTGGGAAATTTAGACGTTTTCTGCAGAAGCTAAAGTTGCATTTCTTAGAGAAAAAGAGTTGAATAGTCGCCATATCTCGTTTTTTTTTGAAATGATAAAAATTGAATATACTGGATGTTGAGAAAACAGGCTCTTGAAAGCAAGACTTCCACAATTTTACCAATTACTGAAAAAGAACTGAAAACCGGGATTACTCGATTATTAAGATAATCAATATTCAGAACAAAATTTGAAATATTTTTTTCCACTATGTGCCCAATAGGATTTGGAAAGTGTCTGTTAAAAAACAACTACTTCCTTGCTATTTACCCGACAGATATTGTGTTGTGTTTACGTTATTTGCTTTATTCATTATACTTAATTGTTTTGATTGAATATTGAGTACACCATTTTTGCATTTTTGTAAATTGTTTACCTCAAAGTGAGGAATTCATTTGACATTTGATTTTATAATGATAAGAACAAAAGTTGAAATAAGAAACATGTTAACTGGATAAATATGATAGAATTAAGTTCCAAGACTTTGAATGAGACAGAATTCTAGTTTTACAAATAGAATATTATATCATGAAGGTACATTTTAGCCCTAAATTATTCCATTTTTAATATTTTGAAAAAGGGGTGACAATATACGTGGACAGTGAATATACGAAGTAATATGTAGAGATTTTCAATCGCATTTGTTACAAATGTTTATTAGGATAAAAGAGAAATTCTGTATGTATTGAAATATATTGACTGAACTTTTGTACAGTGACGAATGTTTTCTATGACATGGACTATGAAAAATTTCAAACATTTTTAGAAAATAATTCAATTGAAAGCCCTTTTAATTTTGAGGGATATAGTAAGTACCAGGCTAAGACAGAAAAAAGTCCAATGCAGTCATTTTCATAAACAATTTTGCTAGTAATTTGACAATTCTTTGACATTTTTAGCACTTTTCAAGACTGTTGTTACTCTGTTTTACCGAATCAGTAAAATTTCTGATGAATCGAATTATTGTGAAAACTTTACTTTTTTCTGACCAATGCCTTGAAGTACGGGTAAGTACCGCCATAAGTTGCATTAAGTTTTGCTGATAAAAATTGTTCACTTACTACTTTCAAAGTTGACGGAGTTTCTGATTTGGGTTCTTCTGGTTTTTTCACCGCCAGGCTCACCTGAAACACAGCAAAACACATGCCACACCCAAAAAGACGAGAATAGAATCATTCATGCTGCATCTAAAATTTACTCTCAAACATGCACTACAAAACATTTTGCGGATATAAATTGTGGATGTGTTCAAAAGGATATGCGGTTCCTAAACTACTACGTAGTTATCAAAATCAAGTCAAATCCGTTTTCTGTATATTTCAAGAATAAATATTATGCTATGAGATCCAAACAGTTTCAGATTTAATTTATAAAGATCTAGCTGACCCAGCGAACTTCATACCGTACATGGATTGGTTTGAAATGCTGGTTGTAAAAGACACGGAACTGAACATTTCTTTGCTTCACTTCTACAGAGGGAGACCTTTCATAAAATTAACAATAGAGATGTGAGCACACAATGAATTGTATTAGGCTGTTTCAATCAATAGTTTTGACCGTTTTAATGTCATGTGTTTTGTAGCTCCATATCTCAATCCTTCATCTGGAGTACCTGAGGGGTCGATTCTTTGACCACTTCTGTTCTTATCATTTATCAATGACCTCAGTAATTATGTCGACTGTAATAAGTTATTTTTTGTAGATGATTTAAAAATGTATTTACCTGTCGAAACTATCGAAGACTAATATATTGCAACGACAGTTAGAACATATACAGACTTGGTGTGACTATATTCAATGCATCCAAATGTAGTGTCTTATAATAGAAAAATGTCAGTCATCGAGTACAATTATCGAGTAGATACCATTTCACTGTCACGAAGTAACTCAATTAAAGATCTTGGTGCATATTTTGATCAGAATTTGCCTTTTTCCAACCACATTAGATCGAAAGTTACTGAAGCATTGAGAGTTTGTGGCTTTAAAGTTCGCAATTGTAGATCTTTTTCAAACATATCTGCCCCAATTACTCTTCATCAGGTCAAAATTAGAATATGGCTCTGTTCTATGGTCTCCATTCTACAATTGCTATAATACATTAATTGAAAAAGTGCAATGTCGTTTCCTAAAGTTTATTTACTTCAAATCTTATGGTATCTATCCTGATAGAGGTATTCCATATGAATAACATAACATTCAATATTGAAAGTCTTGAATTACGCAGAAAACTTGCTGGAATAATTTTTCTGTATAAATTACTGCACAACAATGTGGATGCTATGGAGGTGT